ATGTGAATGGTCCAACCACCAATACCCCAAGGAGATGCTCACAAAGGGAAAAATTTACCTGAAGAATGAAAACCACAGGTCTAATAAGGTCCATAGTTGGAGACACATCAGTACTTTCTCCAAAGGAATGAGGAGTTCTAGAGAAAATACTGTCCCTAATAGCAAAATAATCTCCCATGGAGAATTAGAATGAGAAGTGTAAAAGCTGGTAGTCAGATATGCCACAGCTTACAGATGAAAAAAGTAAGGTAAATTCAGTTGAGACAAGAGAAGAAAAAACATCCAAAATTACTAAACACTGAATGGGTGTAAGAAAGAACAGAGATCACAGGATAAGAACACCTCCACCAACCAAGTAGCCATGGGTAGAAATGAAGATAGGGAAAGAGGAAACATCCGAGAATGAGTACTAATTTAAAGAAATAGTCTTAGAAAAGGAACACCAACCCCAGGCCATGAATATATCCAGCGAAGGCCCACATGATGCCAATTAATATAAGATGGGCCAATGCTAGATTGAAGAGAAAAGCAAAGAACAGGAGAATACAAAAAAGGAGGAGATACAATAAATAAAGGGAGGACAGCCCGAGAAAGATGCATAGGAAGGTATCTGACACATCAACTGTCGTCAACTGCACACAGGGTAAAAAAGATCATAGATGGGGTCAGAGGGAGGTGAAAAGGAAATGGGAAGAATGGCTACTAATTTAAGGAAATAGTCTGAGAAGAGGAACACCAACCCCAGGCCATGAATATAGCTAGCGAAGGCCACATGATGCCAATTAATATAAGAGGGACCAATGCTAAATTGAAAGGAAGAGCAAAGAACAGGAAAATACAAAATAAGGAGGAAATACAATAAAGAAAGGGAGGACAGCTCGAGAAAGATGCATAGGAAGGTATCTGACACATCAACTGTGGTCAACTGCACACAGGGTGATAAGGTGAGAAAATACAAGTAATAATAATAATAAAGAACATAGGCAAAGGATAAGGACAGAAAAAACCTGAGAAGAAAATCCAGAAAGAGATTGAAAGGTTAAGGCAGTCTCACAAAAGGTAAATTACTACCCAGGGCAAAGTAGTTGCAGTATGTAGTTCAACTGATCATTTCCAACTGTTGAGAAAGAAATATGGCTGACAGGACAGGAATAGGAGGTCCATTAAGCATGTGGTGAAGCAATACACTTTGAACAATGGCTGCAATGATCCTGATAGTCAACAAGCCTCCAAAAGCCACAAAGGAAATAAGGCCTAAGTGTGAACAACACTAAACACTCAAAACTAAATATAAACCAATGTCTTTTGAGAATTCATGATAAAAATTAAAACTTTTGGAATAAATGCTTAAAAACAAAAATCCAAGTTTCCTTAATTATGCAAATCTTATGAAATTGAGCACAAACTAAAACATTTTAAACACATATGGTCAACACAGTGCTGAGGAGAAGAAGAGAGTTGTTCTGCATGGAGGTGTGTCACCCTCCTATTGGTGGATGGCTTTGCCACATAATTACATCATCATGCAGTAGTGCAACTCATGTTAGATCATGATATTAGGTGAGAGTTGACTCTAGGTTAGTGGCATGCAAATCTCTAAGGCAGACGTGAGGTGAAGATAGCTAAACAGTGTGAACAGGTGTGTTATTGTTTTGGAAGATGCAATAATGTCTAATTGTTACATCAGCAACTTTATAAGCTGTCTGGGTTTTGCATCAGACAATTTCTGGCTATAAACAGAAGTTCATACTGAGGATCAGTTTGGAAGCCTTCTGCTACAATGTGCATGTGATGCTATCATGGCCAAGAGTTGCAAATTTACTCCTTGGAAACAGTCATTGCAGTCATTGTTTCTCTATGAAAAGAGGGATTTTAGAGAAGGCAGACTGCTAGAAGAATTAAATTTAACCAGTCTACTATGACTTGCCTGGTACAGATATATATACATATAGACTGACTGTGTGAAGTGGAAGAAGGAAAAGGGTAAAAAGAAAGTTTCCACAGCAGCTGACAATTGTGTTCTGAAATGCAATGAGCCTGTAGAATCATCAATTGTCTTCCACAGATCTCCACAGGTTTTATATCATTGCTTCAGGTGAAGAAATATCTTTGAACAAAGAAGATCAAGACACTATGCTGGCCAGGCAACAGCCCAGATCTCAACCCTATCAAAAACTAATAAGTAAAAAAGTGCAAGAGAAGAAACCAAGAAGTATCTTGGAACTGTAGGAAGCCCTGATCTACATGTAGCATCATGAACTCACAATTGTTTACATTTAGTCCCTTGTGATGTCAAACAGTTATCAAGACCAGAGGAGGCACAACCAAATATTAAAACAAGAAACAAACTATGTGACCACTTTTTGTGATAACCATAATGATCATCAAACTTTATACTAATTAGTAAAGAAAGAGAAAGTTTTCTGAAATTTAGAGTAAATAAATGAATGGAAGTTCTTTCACAAGTACTGAAGCCTTCCAAGACACACTACTGTACATAAAACTAGAAACTCACTGTGATTAACCTAGTTAAAACTCATACCAGCTTTACATTTGGTTTGGTAATATAACACATTACTTCAAAAATTTTGTGACTTATCTGTAGTTTGTAAAAACACACATTACTTTGAACATTTTGTTACCAGTTTTTATAGCTTATAAGATCACAAAGTACTTCGCACAATACCATACATTAAAAGTAAAAAAACAAGATTTTTTATACAATGAAAGCTAAATATTTGTATCAGTTTTTCTAGTTTTGGTAACATACTTAGCATCATCAGAGTTCATGAGAACAGTGTTAGCATATATTAAACTTCATCTGTTGAAATGGTAAGTTCATTTCTAAAAGAAGGTCAGGAGATAAGAAGAGGTAAACAGTGAATAAAGGGATACTTAAGACAAGTTTTTCTAATAGGACATGCTTTGATTGGTCATTTGTTTCTACTTATTCACAAAGATCTGTTGTTAATTATGTAGATACTTTATCTTAAGTGTGATGTTTTCATATTTTTTTCATCATAATTACCACCACAGTTACAGAAATGTGGCTAAGAGTAATAAAAGCTTCAGGATATGCAGATGACACCTTCCTGGTGTGGGAACACAGTAATGAAACCTTTAAGGAGTTTTAAACTATATGCATGGTAATGATAAAGGAAGTGTATTTACTATGGAGTTCAATAAATATAAATTAACCTTTTCAGATGTTTTCCTTAAAAATTGATGGTAATAAGTTGAAATTCTGTGTATTTCAAAAAACCTTTTATGTCAGCATGCCACCATATTATAGCTCCAATCAACCTTTAAGTCAAAAACAAAGCACATTTTACACATATGCTTGGCATGCTATAATATATGTTCTGATAAGATACATAATAAGCAAAACAAAAATGCACTTAAAAGCAGTAACAGTGGACAGAGGTTATGACCCTTTCATTGATGACAGAGCTTTCCATTAAATACATGACAAACATCTACAAGTTAGATACTCTAAATTAACTCCATCAAAATCATCTCAAAATAACTGGATTAGCATGCTATATTTTTGGAAAAACTGCTCAAGCATTTGGTTATATAGAAGTTTTCATTTATCAAAACCAAATTCCTAAACACTTACAAACAAAAGATTGAAGACAAAGATGGTGTTCATACAATCAGTTGTAGTTGTGGTATAATGCATAAAGAAAAAACATGGATAAAATTAAAAACAAAATTAACAGAACACCAGTACCATATATAATATGGTAACATAATTGTAGTTGAACATTTCTTGAACTGTAATGGTAATGATAATTAGAATGATGTGAATATTTTAACAGTCAAATAAAAAAATTGGGAAAAATGTAATAGAAAGGATTTTCATAATTAACAACATCTGAGTTCATAAATAGAGATAATGGACCAATCAACGTGCTCTATTGGAAAAACTTTGTCACATATTTGTTTAGTTTGTAATACCTTAGTGATGAACTAAACAATTTAAGTAAAGAGTCTACTTTATAAAACCATTTTAGTACATCACTGGGATGTACAATAATTTTAATACATCACCATTTGGAATGTACAGTCATTTTAATACATCACCATTTGGAATGTACAGTCATTTTAATACATCACCATTTGGGATGTACATTCATTTTAATACATCACCATTTGGGATGTACAGTCATTTTAATACATCACCATTTGGGATGTACATTCATTTTAATACATCACCATTTGGGATGTACAGTCATTTTAATACATCACCATTTGGAATGTACAGTCATTTTAATACATTACCATTTGGGATGTACAGTCATTTTAATACATTACCATTTGGGATGTACAGTCATTTTAATACATCACCATTTGGAATGTACAGTCATTTTAATACATCACCATTTGAGATGTACAGTCATTTTAATACATCACCATTTGAGATGTACAGTCATTTTAATACATCACCATTTGGGATGTACAGTCATTTTAATACATCACCATTTGGGATGTACATTCATTTTAATACATCACAGTCTGGGATGTACATTCAATTTTAATACTATCACAGTTCTGGATAGTACTATACTATTTAATACATACACTATTGGTATAGTACTATTACTATTTAATAACTATACTACTAGTTAGTATAG